GTTAACAGGTATTTTCAATGCATCTAGTGTGAATGGCTTTCAATTTTGTGGCATTGCTTTTTTTTCAACCAGCTTCTGAAATGACATATAAATTATGCAATTATTGACTTGTTTTCATGTGAGCATTAAAATTTCCAGTATAGTTTGGTTAAACTGATTTTCTTTATTTTTAAACACAAAAATGAATATAGTTTAGTATGTAAAATGTATTTTCAAACTTTTACAATTCATTAATTCAGATATTAATAATATTACATGAGTAGGCATTGTTATAGGCTCAGGCAGATGAAAAAATGAATAAGAGATTAAAGGGAAAAAGATGTTCAGAGTAGATGAGATAGAGGAGAGAAACAATTGGAACACTTGGAACTTGAAGCTGGTCCTAGGCAAAAGTCCCTTCTTCATGATCGTCTAGAAAATCCAGATTGGAGTTATATACTTCCATCTTGCTAAGAGCTTGCTATTCTGCTGCTTTTAAGGAAGTTGGAGTTCCTGAGTGAGGAATCCCTTGGTTTAAAACTGCAACTTCTGCTTTGTGGGTGCATTTTAAAATAGGGAGACAGGCTCCTATTCATTTAATGTCATCTGGGTTAGGGGGAGATTTAATTGTAGGTTGTATTCTATTTAGTTTGGAAGGCAACTTGTCTCTTTGGGCCTTATTTAATACCCAATTTCTTGGTAGGAGCCTGGGGTTTTCTGAGTGGTCTATATGTACTGTAGGTCCGTAAAACGCCTTTTCTGTTAACCTGTAAATACAGTAATTTGTGTGTTGTATGTTTGTTTTCTGTAGTGTAGTGTGTCAGTGTCTTTGTTAATAAATATTTGTTTAACCAAGTGTCTGAATAATTTTTTTCAACAAAGTTGTGGCAGAGAACAAAAAAATCACTTGCCTCTAACTACACCAACCATTTGGGTATATTCTTGGATATCTTTACAAGTTATGGATTATCATATGCAGTTGTAACATTTGAATGGATTTTAAATCTATTTAGCATACAAAGAAATCTTAATACAAAATGATTGTGCATACTGATTTAAAATCATGGCATTCATAATCAGCACTTTTATTTTGTGATTGCTAAAAGTGAACCATTTAATGCTCATTAATCATTACTTATGCATCTTGGATTGTCTGCAAAAAATAATTTGGATTGTTAGAGTAAAGCTACAGTTTTGAAGAACGTCTGCTCTTTTATCTGTCTTTCCAGCAGCAAAGGTCATTTAAGACCTTGGCAGCACATCAGGCACTAGTTCTGGAATAAATGAAAATGGCAATGAATGCAGTTTCTGTTGAACTGTACATGCCTGGAATACAAATTAAAAAGTGTACTAGGAAATACATCCATTCTAACTGTCCTGTTAGTAAATCTGGCAAGTTTCTAAAAAAATTGTAGTAAAACGGGACTGAATTGCATAATGCAGTCTTTGCATATATGATTCAGATCTGTAGTGCCTACAACTATTATTCCGATCCTATGTTGTCCCATTTAATAAAATACCAAAATAATGTAAACACATTTTTAAACTATTCAAAACCTGAATGCTCAAACTAAAGATTTAAAAGAGCAAGAAGTGACAGTGTCAACAAAAGTTAAGTAGAATAAATGAAATATGTTGATTGTTTTAAAACCATGAGAACTCTATTTGAAGAATTTCAAGCTCTCTAAAGCTTGGGAATCGCTTATGGAAAGTGGTTTTTGTATAGTCTTTGCATAGATTCCCATTAGGATTTAAGTCAAGACTGACTGGGCCACTTAAGGACATTCTTTCTCATTCTAAAGCCACTCAAGGCAGCTTTGGCTTTATGGTTTGGATAATTTTCACCCCCGTTTCATGGGTACAGCAGACAGAAACTGAATTTCCTCTATTTACATAGCCCATTTTTTACTTCAATCTTAGCAAGCTTTCCTGCTTGATCATTAGAAGTCTTTGACCCCACAGTGGCATCCATCACCAGTTGCTGCCTTACCTGGCTGTTCAATCTGGAGTCACTAAGCAGTGTCTGGTTGGTACAATACACCTTCCATTACTTAATGATTAAGTAGGCTGTGCTCACGGGGATGTTCAGGGATGTTTGGATCCTTCTCCTGCTCTGTGCTTTTCAATGAATTCTCCCTGGCTTCCATTGCAAGCTCCTTAGTCTTCTAGTTTTCTTCTTAGTTTTGGAACCTCACAACCTTGTAATTTCAGAATAAAAACACTGCAAAGGGGCCCTCAAATAATTGTGTGGCCTACTGAAGTAACTTTGTATATCTAAATTTGTATTTACCACAGCAAATGGTTTGAGTAAGTACTGTACATAATCATGACTTTTCCATTTTTCTTAAATATAACCTATTATCCTGTTTTTTTTCTGAGTGTAATGTGCCATATATGAAGTAATGAGTAATGCCTGTATGTGAATGTTGTGCTGTGAAATAAGTTTAAAAAACCCTATGTGATCACTAAAGTTATAAAGGTGCAGAAAAGGTAACATAAGTAATTATAAGAAAGAGAATAAACAAACCGCAGGAGAGTGAAATGCTAGAATAGGAAGGGAGTAGCTACTGGTACCTCTCCATTCCCACCCACCCCATCTCCATCCAACAAAACGTCCTTTATGACCAACCCCTGAATGCAAGATGTCTCCAATTTTATTGTATGTGAAATAGTAATAATAATAAACTGTTTTATATAGCACCTTTAAAGGTGTCTTCTCAAAGCGCTTTACAGTATGACAATAACAATAAATAAGAAGAATACATAATTAAAACACAATTACAATATATAGAGGAGGCCGTGGATGCAGAGCAGAGGGGTGAAGAATGAAACCAGTTAAGTAAAGGCTTTTCTGAAGAAGAGGGTTTTGAGTCTGGATTTGAAGGAGTTTAGAGAAGGTGACTCTTTGATATCCTTGGGCAAAGAGTTCCAGAGCTTGGGGGCATAACAGGAGAAGGCCCTGTCACCAATACAATGTAGAGGGGCTTGGGGGACAGTAAGGAGGGCAGAATTTGAAGAGTGGAGGTTGCAAAGTGGGGAGTATGGCGATAATAGTTCAGACAGGTACTGAGGTGCCAAGCTCTGCAGAGCCTTATAGGTGAGCATGAGGATTAAGTCTACACGGAATTAGACCGGAAGCCAGTGCAAGGACTCCAGGATAGGAGTAATGTGAACACTTGCACTAGACCTGGTCAGGATTCTGGTTACTGAATTTTGGACATACTGCAGTTTGTTCAGAGTAGATTTAGATACCCCAGCGAGTGGAGCATTACAGTATACAACGATATTACAGGTCTTGCGATATTTTTAAGGTGAAAAAAAGATGTTCTGATAGTATGTTACACATGTGGGTCGAATGTTAAGCCAGAAACGAATATAACGATTTTCAAATTTGATTGAAGCTCAAGTACAGAGCCATCTACAGAAAGGGTTACAGGACTGGCTTTCTGAAGTTGATGGGGGGTGCCAATGAGCATGACTTTGGTCTTGTCGCAGTTGAGATGAAGGAAGTTTTGAGTCATCCAAATGTTTTTTATGTCAGAGATGCAATTAGATAGAATAGAGACAGCCACATCAGTGTCAGGTTTGGTATGGATGTATATTTGAGTATCGTCAGCGTAAAAATGAAAGCTGAGGCCATGTGATCTTAAAAGCTGACCAAGAGGAAACATGTAAATGCTGAATAGCAAGGGACCCAGTATTGAGCCCTGAGGGACACCAGACTTAACAAGACCAATTTCTGTACCATCAATTTACTTTCTTGTCTGTTATAACTGTGCTGGAATAATCTGTTACAATACAGTTGTGCTGCAGTTATATGCATTTATAGCAGCCATATAACCCCACAACTCAACTGAAAACCCAGTGAAGTTAAGCAGATTTGAGCCTGGTCAGTACCTGGATGAGAGACCTCTTAGGAAAAACTAAGGTTGCTGCCGAAAGTTGTATCGGAACGAGAAGGGCCGCTTATCATGAAGTCCCTGTGGGTCCTAATGCACCAGTACAGTCACAGGGAAACTATACTGTGAAAAGCCACCGCCCTTCGGATGAGATGTAAAACCAAGGTCCCGACTCTGTCGTCATTAAAAATCCCAGGGTGTTATCCTAGCATCCTGGCCAAATTTCCCCTTGGCCTTTACCAATCATGGCCTCCTTATAATTCCCATCTATTAACTGGCTTCATCTTCACTGCTGCACATTGGTGGCAGTGGAGGAGAGTCCCCATTACCTGTAAAGTGCTTTGAGTGTCCAGACCAACATGACTGACTTTTACATGACATTTTGTAACTTTTAGAATGGAAACTTTTGAGGACAGTTTAAAGATTTGAATTTTGCTTTAATGAACCACATATACAGTACATCATCCAGTATCAGAATTCTGCCGATTCTTAGTAACAAGTGCAACAACCTACAGTACAAGCACACGATGCAAGACGGGACTACACAATGGATGGGATGCTTATCCACTATAGCGCACACACCTGGTCCTCATGGGTCACTGCATGTGAAGGTTTTCATTTCAGCTCAGCTCTTAACCTATATTGTTACCACTTATTCAGGTAATAGTGTTTTTTAAGATCTGGAAAACCTGCAAGGCACAACAGCCCTCTAAGATCAGGATTGTATCCCTGGTACACACTGACAAAAGGACAATTGAGAGATGCCAATTAACCTAACAGCACGTCTTTGGGAAAAGGGAATATTTAGATCACCTATCAGCAAAAGTACAATATTTGTAATACAATGAATAAACAAAATAATTTTGGAAAATTATCTGAAAGAGGTAATGCAAGAGTCCAAAAATTGTGCTTCTTACCTCTAAGAGTATACTTCTAGTTGGTATAACTAACAAAACATCTGCAAAGTACTTTATCAGCAGCTTTCTTCATGAGGAATAAGTTTTACCTAATAAATGCAATATTTTTCACAATTTCTTATCCTTCTTGATTATAGCCCTACATATTTGTGGAAAAATACCATTGGGATTTAACACTTCACATACAAAATTTTCATTAGTCCATTCCTTATGTTGTTGAAATTAATTACATTATTCACTTGACATGCTGTGAAAAAGCTGATACCAGCCTTGACAAAAGTCTAGATAAACAGCATACACTCTACTTATAGGTATTATGTTAAAGAATTTATTAATGCCTTGGCACCCAAATGAAAGTGATCACAATGTTATGCTTATTACACTCTTAAATTACATCTTAAAGAGGCTAGAAATCTTTTATTTTGGGTTGATAAATTGACAAATACTTTATTTTTAACTTACAAATCCTGTAACAAATTACAGTAAAGCAAAATACAGCAAAAAATGTTAAGATTTTTAAAAGTTTTAAAAAGCAGAATGAAAGGGACACATGACAATGAAATATGATGAATGTAAAAATCATTACACTGAAATTTTCAAAATGCAAGAGACAACCCATAATGTTTCAGTTAAGCAGCCTGTACATGACATCTGACCTTGTCATTTTGCAAAAAAACAATCTGCTAGGTACACAAAAAGACTCCAATAAAGTTAACCAAACTAATTCTAAAACAAAAACTTTTCATCTTTCTGACATTAGTGTTTAGTACCCTCTCTTACAATAACACATGCACAAGTAATGGTAAAGACAAGCATATTATGATGAAATATGAATTTAACACTGAAAGACCATGCTCTGATTATGAAACACACCAATTTAGAATGCTTATTTGGGCCTGAACAAGTAATCAGGGAAATTCTTTTTTTCAGTGTTTTATAGAAAAAAAGCTGATAAAATCAGCCTTATTAATAACTTCTGTATTTTGTTGGGACGTAAGCTACATCCAGACCAGGCCTCCAGATGTTTTTTTTCCCATTGCGAATTATGAGTGCCCTTCAAATTTACCAATAAAGATAGAAATGAGAAATGATCTAGTTCTGAGTGCAATATTGGCCGAGAACCTCAGCTCCCATTCCAGTACAAATGTTTAAAAAAAGCTCAGTTTAAACTTCAGTAACTGTACACTGTCCATCAGGCCTTCTTGATCTCACACTGTTGCTGCTACTGGCAGACTCACCTCCTGGAGACGGCCTCTCTGCCTGGCTCTCCCTAACCCGGTCATATGGAAGGAGTCTTTGCCTTGTACGTGACACGTACTGCAGCTGGTCACCAGTCACTTCTTCTGCATCATCCCCTCCTTCCTCCTCTTCCTCTTCACTACTGGATTCTGAGTCTGATTCATCCACAGATGTGTTTGGAGCAGATGAACCATGAGACAGTGCTGTATCCTCTTCCACCTCCTCCCCCTCTCCATTTTGCCCTCTGTCATCACTGCTTTGATGACTAATCTGCATTTGGGCAAAGGAGTTCTCTATAGAGCTGCTGGCATCAGGGGATGGGGTTGAAGGACTTGTTGGCTGGCCACCAAGAGATGTAGGAGGCCTCACAGAATTGGCTGTACGTATAGATGCAGATGCAGCCCCCTGAACAGCTGTTGTATCAGCCCCATCTGCTGAATTTTCACGAGCCACAGCCAAAGCACTGGAGTCAGTGTCCAACCGAAGTCCAGCAACACCCTTTTTGGGGATATCAGCAATGTCTCTTTTCATTTTTCTGCGGCGCCCATGCTCATTCCTTCTGTACTGAACCATATTCTCCAAGTCTGCCACATACAAAAATCCTGCTATGAGCATCTCGGTAGTCTTTTTACCTTTTGAAAAAGCATCTTCTAGCTCTCTGCTTGTGCGCTCATCATACTGCCACCAGCCATTCCTACCTTCATAGTACCAAGCATACTCTCCATTGCCTCTTCCTGCTGCTTTGAGCTCCTCTGGGGACAGCAGAGTAGGCTTTTCAAGAAAGTCTTCAGGAATTTCTTGTCGACACAGCGCACAGCGCTTACTTTGCCAAGATGCTCCTTTTACACAAAGATAACAAAAAATATGTCTACAAGGGAGTCGGACAGGATGAACACAGGTTTGTAAGCATATAGCACATTCAGGGACTGAGAGCGCAGGGGATGTACTTGAACAAGGCTCATTCACCTTCTTGTTAGAGGGAAGCATATTCAATGTATGGTCAACCTCACCACAGCTAGCCATTCTGCAGAAAAAAAAACAAAAAAAGACATAAAAGAGCACAGACACATTGAAAACTATTTTCTCACGTATAAACAAAACTGAATAACAGGCATTTGTTATGAAGATTGATTCACTCTCATTTTCATCTAGATTTTCCGTTTAATTCTCAGTGATGAGAAAATAAAGCTTTGCCATAGACAGATGTTACAGGTGCCCTTCAAATGTATTTACATTTTAAAATAGGAATATATTTTTTGCATTACAGTCAAGCAATTGATATTTGTTATCATTGTACTAATACACACATTAGAAACAACATGTTTTATTTTTAGTAATTCAATATAAACATTTCATCATAAAGAACAATAACATATTTGGCATTCAACTCTATTTTGAGTTGATTGTACATACTGGAACACATTCAGTAAATCTTAGAGAGAAGTGTCAGTACAAGACTGAATATCCTTTTGAGACAATAAATGCTTAATAATTTGCGACACATTGAGCTCACCAATAATGGTGTAATTATCTGAGATGCTTCATCACAGTAACTGCAAGTTCTTGAATATTCGTGGGATGTTTTTTTTTATTCAGCATGTAAAATACATGCTGAAGTGGATCTTAATCTGGAGTTTGATTTGTCTAATCTATGATTTTCAATTCTTTTCCTAATAAACTTGGTTGCATTGGCCATATATTTTGGGTGACCATTAAACTGCATGGTAAAGTGCTGCTCCATTAAGTGTGTTTCTGTAAACTTCAGAATTCATTGTTTTTCTTATTAGATACATCAACGATACATTTCACTGAGCCGTTTTCAGAAGAGGAGGACATGTCTTCATCTCCACCACGCTTCACAGATAAGGTGATATTCTTTAAAACATTTGCAGTTCCTTTCTCCACACTTAACAGTTGAAAAGATTGAACTTGGTCCCACTATCTAAAAGTTAATGATGATTTCACTACCAGCTCTTGTAGGATTTTCTTATCCAGTACTGATCATTTTTGTGTTATCAGCTGCAGATGATTCCCTTGGCCAACCAGGTTTTGTCTTATTTGTAATTATGCCTGGTGTTTTCTTCTAATTAAATTCCAAATTGTAAATCTTGGAATCCCCAAATTAGAGTTCATATTTTATTTACCTCACAAATATATAAATATTTGCATATGTTTGGGGGCTTTCAATGCCATGGGTTAGGATGCTAAAAGTGATTAATAACTTTAATAATGTCAAAATTGTTTATTTTTATGTATTGAAACTAACTTGATTTCTATTTGTTCATTTCGTAATATGCACATTTTTTTTTACATATGAAGCAAGTTGTTGATTTTTTTCATGTAAAGAGCATAATATCCCATAAAATATGACTAAAGAAAGACAGATGCAGAACTTACGATATACACGGTAGTTACAGCACTTTCATCAAGAGGATATTTTTCTTCTTTAAGATTCTCCCTGATAAAAGAAAAATGTTAAAACCTATAACATGAAACTGATTTTTCCATGCCTCCCACTAGTTAGACAACTTGAGACCTGCCCTCTAAACCCAGGGTAACTATATAAAGATATGAAATGCATGTATATACACAAATATAAACAATTATCAATCCACCCTTTTAAAATCCTCATCATCACATAAAAATGGTAGGCAAAACAATAATCAAACCTATCTACACCCATCTGAAACAAAAAAATCAAAATGAAAAAGTTTAGACAATTATCATGGTGTATCATGTTTAGAAACACATCGGTAAAGAAAACTAGCACCTTTCAATAATCTTTCAGGTTATTAATATTTTACATAAACTTGCAAATGATTCTTCATCAATCATCTCCCACTACTTAGCTCATGATATTAAACAAATTAGTTTTTTCCATTGCCTCCTGCTGTACATGCAAATTAACATCTGTCACATAGATATGAATACCTTGAATCCCTGGTCTTAAGTACGTTTATTTCTTACTAAACATTCCACATGTAGTGTCACTATCTCCAGTTTCTCTCAAAGTACTAGCCCACTTAAGAAAACGCTTTAAAAACCTACTAAAATAGGTCTTCCTTTGTTAGAAAAGAATTTACTTTGTTTCACCCAAGCATTAACCTAACATAACTTATTTAAATATACATTTATGTACTGATAAGGCCATACAATGTTTTGTTTTCTGCCCTGTATATTAACGCATTCTGTTGCGACTGTCTGCATGGTGTCATTTTCTTAATATATAACTACATTTTCTTCAAATTCGTGATGCCCGTTTTAGAGGACTTTACTTAATGTAGTAACAAAGAGGTCATAAACAGATGAACAAGTAAATCAATCCAATCACCACTATCAAACCTACTATATGATATATATATATAAGAACTATAAGTTCTTCTTATGAGGAGGGAGAAAAGCATTCAGAGGAAATGTGAAACTGTTTAAACTGTTTTCTTCCTACAGAAATGAATTGTCTGTAACTTGATGCATTTATAAATTCGAATATTTCATATCTGAATATTAAATAAAACATGTTATCTTTATACACTCTATCAACAGAACATTAAAAACGTAATTCCCACAAAACATTAATTTTATCAATTATGTAGAATACTTAAAAGTACATACGTCACTGTTTCAACATTCTTTTTAAGTTGGTAAACCAAATCAGGTTCTTTCAAGTCCTCTTTATAAGGAATACTGTGTTTTGCAAATTAAGTTGTTTGGGATGAGCTCAACCACCTGTATTTTTAGTTCCTACACCAAACGGTAGCGGAGTTAATACCGCGTTCTCTAGCTATCAATTGGATATGTGCAGAATTATCTATCACTACTGTGCTGCTCCATTTCTTAATGTGTTCACACCCTACGGTAACGATCTGCATGTATACATACACACAGAATCGAGACTCAGGCTCAGCATTGTTATTAAAATGTAAACTATGCTGGTACAAACACAATCTTCACAGTAACGAGGTCTTCCTTAACAACAACGGATTTTCAACAGAACTCAGCCAGCCAGTTCCGGACCGCTTGAAGGACCAAACTGCATTCTCTCTGAAGCCACTGCCCGTGAGACTCAAAGACTCGCCGACACTCTTCGTTTTTTTAAGGTGGCTACAAAAGGACGTGAGGAAACCGTAGGCTGACCATTAAACACGACGGAGGCCCGACAGGTTAAACTTGAAATAATTACATTTCACGAGGCCTTCACGCAGGCGGGTAGTATCATCGAGAAGGCAGAAGTGGTTAAAAAGACAGGTGTCGTTTAGGATTGCTTGATTTCGTACAACGACCACTCCCAGGGCCCACCACAACAACAATAAGATATGTTGTCTGGTCAGGGTGATGACAGCCGCTGGTAATAGCCCGGCCAAGCAGCGCAGACCCCGGCCGCTTCCCAGACCGTAAATAAAAGGGCTTCTACTCATCGGCCGAACATTTCTGTCTAAAACAACGCCCCCACCATCTTATAACAAATTCGAAATTATCATTCGCCCTATTTACAGATTTCTCAAAATACTCACCAGCCCTTTTTTCTCCTCCAGCTCCTTCACAAGACGCCGAAGCCACCAACAATACGCATCATCCTCAGCGTGCTGACGATTAGGGCGTTTTGACGTCATTACGTAGATACGGAATGCGTAAAGGCGGAGCATCCGGGTGTTCCAGTCACCTGGAAATGAAATAAAATTAAAAGTCACCTGGAAATAAAAGGCAAAGGAAAGGTGTGCTTATTGGGTGGTAGTCTCTGAGATGTTTTAGTGTTTTATTTTTGGGGGGTTGAAACGCTTAAACATTTCGTGAGTTTGGTTTGGATATTTTTAATTAATGAGTTTTCTATTAACATCATTGATAACGTACAGGAAGCATTGTCCTGTTGTGCTTGATCCTTTACAGCCTACGCATACTAACGCAGCTACCCACCTGAACTACATAATCCATTATTTTTGTTCTCTTTCCCGTTTGCTATATACTTTTAAAGGTGAACACTGATCCATTTGATAAGTAAATAATGCTTATATACTGTTTGAATTAGTACTTATTTAAAAAAGCGAACGTTAATTTGTTTTATGGTTTAGTAATACGTTGATAAAAGTAACGATCGCAGACTGTCGTATCTTAAATGTAATAAAAGAGTTCTGACGTAGGAATTATGTTTTCGACTTCAGTACGGTTTACTGTAATAACTGGAGTGGCGGGGCTCCCTGCAATAAAGTAAAACTACCAATTTCACGATTTGTACTGTGTAAATATCAAATCACATATCAAACACATTAGACCTTACCCTTACACTGTAGACCTTTTAGTTCTGCTTTTGTTATCATGAATACTATTTTATTTTGCCGGTCTTTGTTTGAGAATAATGCCTTGAAAATCAAGGATTCTGTGGTCTACTGACTTAACCAGTATGTTGTGGCCCGTAAGCACTTGCTGACATTTGGTAACCTGAATTTCTTGATCTAGAGATGAGCTGAACTGAGTTCTTATGATGGCGATCTACATTTACCTTCTCCAGTGCTGTCATTTAAGGATATTTAGGACTAATAGTTGTCTAATGAATTCAAAGGGAAATCATTGGCAAACTCTGATTGTCGCAACTAAATTGCTTTTCTTTACTGCTGTTGTATCCTTAAGCAAAGTACTTCAATCAAATTACTCCAGTAAAATGCCCTGTTGTAGAAATGGATGTAAATAAAAGTAACTTTGGACGGCTTAGGGTGTCATCTACATAAAGAATGAAATGAACATGTTTTATTAAAAAAATACTAATCTTGAATAAAAAGATAAAACCATTTTATATGATAAACATTTGTACTGCATATTATAGAGTTTGTCATCACGTTCATTCTCCTGTATGTTGAGTAAACAGAAGTGGGGTTTAGCTTTTCCAGAGCACTAAAAGGCTGTATTTTTAAACTACATTACAACAGTGAGGCCTAAATGAGTCTTGCAATCACAGAAAGGAAGAAGACTTAGGTACATGATTTATTTTAAAACATTATTTTTACATTATATATATTTTTTCAGTTCTAACCTTTAGCTTTTATCTCCTTTAAATATTTTAATCATTGACATTTTAGGACTTAACACTGCAGCAGTGACTCATTTATGGCTCAGGAGAGAGGAGACATAAACTGTCCTCCGATGCCTACCAGTAGAATTGATTTGACACAGTGCACAGCGCCTTGTTTTTTACATTATTCTTTAACACCATAGCACTATACACAGGACATTTGTGTAATAACTTGGTGTCGTAAACAAAAGTAAGTGCCATGCATAAATCAATACATGCAGTACAGTCCATGTAAACATTCTGTTAGAGCATCTCACTCATTACCATATAAAACCATTTTGAGTAATACAATGATATTAGCTGAACAGTTGCAGTACCTTTGAGCTATACAACTTCTATAATATCATTCTCTTAAAGATAATTGTGATAGGTCATCCTGTCTTTAGCTGTCTTGTGAGGCGTGAGCATATGAACTTTCCAAGCTTATATAATCCAAGCAGCCAGATCACCCTGCAACTCACACCTGGCAACTCACTGAAGCTAAGCAAGTGTGAGCTTGGTTAGTACCTAGATGGGAGAACTCCTGGGAAAAACTAAGGTTCTGCTGGAAGAGGTGTTAATGGGGCCAGCAGGGGCGGTCACCCCCCTATAAAGTATACTGTTAAAATGCACCATCCTTCAAATGAGACGTAAAACCGAGGTCCTTACTCTTAGTGGTCATTAAAAATCCTAGGGCGTTTTTTAAAAAGAGTAGGGGTGTTACCTGGGTTTCCTGGCCAAATTTCCCACTAACCTTTATCAATCATGGCCTCCTAATAATCCCCATCTATGAATTGGCTTCATTACTCTGTTCTCCTCCCCACTGATAGCTGATACAGTATGTGTTGAGCATTCTGGCACACTATGGCTGCCGTCGCATCATCCAGGTGGATGCTGCACATTGGTGGTAGTGGAAGGGAGTCCACATTACCTGTAAAGCGCTTTGAGTGGAGTGTACAGAAAAGCCATATATACGTGTAAGCAATCAATTATTGTTATTATTATATTGTAAAAATATGCCAAGAATATACCCGAGCAGTTTGTTTAGTTAGAGGCACCTAATGTGTTTCTTCTCTTACACACTTCTGGTTAAAAAGTAATGAATAAGAGGCAAACAGCTGTGAACTAATATTTATTAAAAATAACAATAACTAGACAACACATACAACATAAAACATAAAAGTTACCCTATTAACAAACAAGGCCTTTCAGAGGTCTGAATCCTGACCAACTAGAAAAACCCAAACTGCTAACCCTGTATTCAGAAATTCTCTATCATACCTATATCAGACCAACACAAGAGATAAACCTGCATCTTAAATAAAACAGATTTCAACCCAAAGCTAAATTTATCTTCCCATAGATTAGAAAGCTCCCAGAGTGAATGGGAATCTACCTCCCTGTTCTAAAACATGTACAGAATATATTAACCAGAAGAAAACATCTTTAGCCTGGGAAAAGGAATGCGAGGAATGTTTAGGAAAATTCCTCTTGTTTTTTAGGAAATTAGAGTTTCTTAAAATAACAGAATGACAAGCTCTCTGAAACAAAGTTCAAATACTTTTTGCTAGAATCTTGTCTTTAAGACACATTTGAACAAAGTAGGTCACCTACTGTAGCATGTTTCGTCTCCTCTGTCTGTTCCTTTTTCTGTGTGTCTCTTTTTCTTTCTGCTTGTCTTTTATCCTGTGTTTCTGGAGTGTGGAAGACTCTTAATGTAAATTAACCAAGGTAAACGATTCATTTTGATCAATGTCTCTCAGACCCCATAGAGCTCAGCAACTGCTTTGACCTCTGTCCATTGTTTCTGCTATAGGTCCTGACACACTTTGATAGTCATAACAATATATAGAGAGATTATATATACATCCGTGTAGTTTGCACCTGTGTCCTTTAATTCATATTTCACTGTTTTTTTCTGAAGAATTCCACTGGATTGACTTTGTTGATCATTTTAAGGACTTTGAATATTTTCATATGGTTCCATTGTTTTCAGTGTTTAGTTTCTTTTGTCTGTTAGTGTTCCACATTCTGGGAAGTAATATCTACAGTATATTGTAGTTCTACACAGTATTGTGATATAAGGTGTTACTAGCACATTTTACAATTTGAATGTAACATCCCTTAACATTTCAATGTCATGCTTTCAACTAGATATTCTAAAATTTTTATTATCTTTTATTTCTTATCCACAATGTCTGGAAAACATAAATAATATGTCACCATGGACACCTTTTTCATGAAGTCCTGTCTTCACTAACCTCTTCAGACTTAGTGATTTCCAATTTTACAGCATATATACAGTAACTTATGTTTTTGCTACCTGTGCATTATACTCTGAATTAAATATTCAGTCTATACTAAAGATCATCAAAATGTTTAATTGTTTTCATTCAATGTCTGCATGTATATTTAAAAAAAAATAAGATTATTGAAGATGGAGAAAATGTTTTGGTGTCATTTTGATAAACTGATAATTCATGACTGTGATACACTTACAGTATATGTGGCTTATGCAGTAGTCAGAACTATTTATGTCACATTATTAGTGAGTAGGTTTATTGTGCAAAAAAAAGTTATGAGATCAATCTTAGTGAAAATCAAGAAAGAAAAGTATTTTAACCAATATGTTTATCAAGAGAATGTCTTTGTGTCATACATGTGTTAGAGCAATACTTCAGACTGACTCAACAGAGTCAAGTCAACTTTAGGGATGAATCAAGGACAGCAAGACAGCACATGTCCTCATGAGAGTGTGCCAGTTATGCCATGAATTCCCTTACATGTCATACCTCGGCTCTAGTGGAGCATTTGTAATGAAGTGAATAAAGAGGCACATGTCAGTCCATACATTTGTTTATAAAAAGACAGAATCCCACAACATCTTCTATCTAGAGCAAAATATGCATCACAGATGTGCAGCTTGTATTGGCTCAGGACATTTGTAGAAAGAAGGTTAAACAGTTTAGAAAGAAAATGTATTTACTTATATACAGTATATACAGGATCTCCAGTACATTTTCTAGCCACTTCCTTCAATTCAGGGTCATGGGAGAGCCAGAGTCTTATCACAGCAAGCAACAGGCGCAATGCAGGAAAGACCCTGGATGGGACGGGAAAATTGAACGTCGTGTGAGAGTGTGCATGTCTGTGTCTTTGTGTGCCCTTCTTCCCATCGAGGGTGTACCCTGCCTTGTAAACGTTGCTTGCTGGGATGGGTTCCAGCTCCCCCACGATTCTGAATTAAAGGAAGTGGCCAGAAAATGGATAGATGGATATCTTTGGATTGTTGGATGAAACTGGAGCACTTGGCAAAAGCTGACGTTGAAAATGGGAGAACATACAAACTCAGAAAAGGTACGGTTTTGAACCCAGGGCCACAGTGCTTTAAGGCATCAATGCTAGCCACTGCTCCATCATGCCACCCTCCAGTACATTTAATGTGATTAAATTAAATTTAATGTGTGTTTGCGTAGGCTAATGGCTTTATGATGAAAGTTACTAGAGTTTAGCCACACATCACATGTTGGAAAACTGACCGTATTCTAGATTGTGAATTTTTAAAAATATGTGAGCTTCAACTCATTTGATTTGATTCTTTTATCAATTTGAATTGAAGGTCCTCCTTATAGGTCACTTTCTGCAATATCAGCACCACTAAATAAGTTTCCTATCACATCTCTGTTATTTGTGAGTAGTTTCATCAACATCGATAGAAAATTTAAACAGACATACTGTACAGTGTACTGCAGAATGAAGCAGTGCCTTTTGTTTTGGTATTGAGCATGCTTTGACTCCTACTAAAGTGAACTGAAACCTTTGTAGATAACATTGTATTCAAGGTAGAATATCAATTTACTGTATGTGGCCAAAACAATTCTTTAAATCAAGTAGTAAACTATATCAAGTTAACCAAGCTAACCAACTGCAATACATTCCTAGTTCTTCCAATTAAATGTCAGGTTTTACTCAGTGCTTGCTCCTTACCCCAGACTAACAAAGCAGGCTTAAGAATCTGAGCTACCATTCTGAGACGTGGCATATTTTGAAGACAAGTATCACAAGAAAATTAATCACATGGTGTTTCCACAAAACAAAAGGATACAACAGATAGAAACATTAAGCTAATTAATATATACAAACCTATGTGTACAAAGGTAAATTGGAAAGTGGAAAAATATAACCATGAAGTTACAGCTATTTATTGCAAGCTTTGGTTTGAACCAGCTGTATATTTTCTGATGAGGTAAACATTTTGTTACACTATAGGAAGAAAAACTCTCAGCCTCAAAAACCATTTGTTACTAATTATTAAGCATGATGTAATGGAAGCACAAATAGCAAACTGTTATGCTTACAACAGACAAATAAGGTACACAAACCAAAAATATATTAATCCAATATAGTTTATTTGACATACAGGTGCTTTGATTTGTTTAGTGGCTTTTCATGTCACATGAAATAATGCATTGGCAATGTACCTATTTAAACTAAAAGGTAAGCTTTCTCTTTCTGTGGCATTGAAAAAAAATATCTCAGGGAAAAATATTGTGCATTTGTGAAGAAAAACCATCATTAAAATGATGCTTTTTTATTTTGCCACACAAAACTATTTATCAACATGCAGTCATAGAATCCTGTTGTCTGTATGTAAATGACACATTAAGCACATTTTATTTTAATTTACTCAGCAATTATTAGACACCTACATAACTCTAAATAAAGTCACAATACCTACATTCAAACCTTGATGTAGTGATGGACCTGGGCCTCACCAAATAAAAAGTTAACAAGAACCTCATCGGTCACAAAGGATTTATAATTTGTCACTCCATTGTGCTCCTTTAAGCCTGGAAAGGTGGTTTCTAACTCACTCTTAAATTTGCCATCCAAATTGGATAATAAAAGTAGATGAAGTAGGTTGATGTCCTCAAAGTTTGCACCAAATCAAAGGTGCAGGCATCTTCTTGTCTTGTGCATTTAAGTCTATATTTAAATTATACAGTTAGCAGCATCTTCAGTCTTTAACATTCCAGTGAGTCTGTTAGTGTGCAGTGCTCCCAGCTGTAGAGATCTGTTCCTTGTTTTGTGTTTTCCGTCTCCTCTGTTCAGTCTTGTTTTTGTTCTCTGAGTCCTCCCTATTGTGGATATCTCTTTCCTCTTGTCTGCTGTCCTGATGTTCCCTTCTGTTAGGTCGCCCTCTCCTCTCACCTTTCCCCTTCCTCCCTGGAAAGGAAAAATAGTACCCTTTTTTAGCATTAGGTACAGAGCATACATTGTAAGTTAATTTTATCTTTAATTTCCTCTCATTATCTGTCTCACCAAGTCTCTTTGTTTGTACAAGGTGCTATATTATTGTACTGTATATAAACCATAGATATATACTGTAGTATATGTACTGCTTATATGTAATATATTTAATGAACTCTTACTATTAAACTATATCAATCCACAGTTGGGTTATGCAAAAAGTTATATATTACTGTAGATAAGTCCATACTAGTGTTGCTATGGAGTGTGCATTCCTCCTTCAGTCAAAAAGTTGAACAAAGCTTTCAGAACCTCAAATAACTGAGTTACTCACTAATATTTCATGTGATCTGACATTGCGCTGAGCACCACATTAGAAAGAGTAAATTGTAAGCTTTTTAAAATTTTTAAAAGTCAAATAAAAATACAATAATTGTGGAATTGCTTCACAAGAAACAGTAATCTGTAAGAGATACAAAGTGGCCTTGGCAAATTGTTCAGATTTTCAAAGCTAGTCATCTTATATAGACCATTCATCACTGTAAGTTGTAAGTTAAAGTGCAGATCAGACCTCAAGATATGATGTGAAACAGTAAGCAAATAACTGCATAAAGCTGATATAACTAAGAGAGCTGGCCTCAAAAACATTGGCTTATGCATCAAAACAATTACAAATGCCTAAAGAAATAACAGTACATATAAAGATTGGAGAGAATTGTTCCTGTAGCTTAGAAAGGGAATGGTTAACACTGGTATTGAAATTGATGATGTAGGGCGTGCTTGATAATTTAATTATTTTTAAACATTTTGTGTTAAGCAAACATATAAAATAACACTCTTCATAAAAATAACTGGAAATTCAGAAATTTCACATATTGTTTTCATATACATCAAAACAAAACCAATACTGAATCATGAATTAATATTCTTTTTTTTAAAACATCCTTGCCTATAATATAAAAATGAATTTTAGCCATGGTATTGATTATAATGGTTAGTAAGGGAATTATTTCTGCCTACCAATGATTTTTCATTTTCATTTCTGTTCTAAAGAATTGTGTACATACTGTATATTGTCATTTTAGTTTTTTTTGTCTTGCAGCCTTTCATATAAGTCTCTTTTAATTAATTCTAGGGATATTTAATTTTTCCCTTTTAACACTCCAGGCCTTGTGTTTCTGTTTTTCGGTCCTTAAATGAGGCCCCATGCTCATGAAGGAGTATCATCCACTGGCTGACTAACTACAAGTGGAACACATCCAACAGAACATTTACATTTTTCTCTGAGTGATATGATAAAATTGTACAGCTGTCAAACTATTAGGAAACTGTTAAGACATCAGATTGCTTTTATCCTGGTTACCAAGTTGCCTTGTTTGGTTTTATTTTCTGACAATGACAGACATCTGAATTTTTTGTTTTTGTTTGTATGTTTTTGTTGTAGTTCTTCTTTGAAGCAAGATGGTTTGAAGGGAAAGGTTTACATCACAAATAAAGGACTTAAATGAAATGCTACATTCTAGGGGTAATTTTCCTTTGGGAAAAGTTCCTTTCTTCTACCACTTTGGGGAGCTCTTTTACCATGTAAAGCAATAGTGTGTCTGCCAGGAGTTTAGGAGTGTTCCTCTCATTTTAAATGCTGTGGGTTAAAATTAGTTTTATGGGCTATTAATCCAATATTTCATTTGTATTAATAAAAATACAGAAGTGCCGAATGTAAGGCTGACAAGGGTTGTACATGTGATCCAAAGCTTTTTGTAATCTCATTTTTTTTATTATGTGCCATGATTTACACCTATACTAGCATTTCTGGTGCACTACAAATGTACTGAAATGTATATACCCAATGAACAAAGTATCCTTATCTGCCATGTAATTAAGTTTAAATGACATCTTGATGACAGTAGAATCCAATTCATTCCTGGCTCAACATTCCTGGCAGAACATTTCACAAAAAAATGACAAAATACATTTCTAAATAACATTTGACAGTTCAGATAACTAACTTAATTACATTGTTCAGCTCCATTCTAGTTTCTCTTTTACATTAAGAATATTTACAAAATATCTAGATTACTTGCATTTTGATTAGAATAGCCATACTTACATACTGTATGAAATAAAAAAAATGCTATAATTTTACAAACTAAAATATATTGGGAAAACAAAAACAACACAAAAGATACTAGTTTTGATTTATTTGGTGTTAGTGTGTAGGAGTCGTTATGTACCACTGAAAGTCTGTTTTATGTTGAGCAAGATTTCTTTGGAAAATACAGTACACACACTTGCCATCAGTGTTACATTCTGTGTGTCAATGTAGAATCAAAGATTTAAATGGTCTTGCTCTGCTTTTTCCTCTCAGATGTTGTTTGGTTCCATAAATCTCAGAAGGGTAACTGTTTTGACCTAGGACCACTCACATCAGCTGACACAGTCTTAAACATTCCAGAAATCCAAATGATGTTATGCTGTGGTGTATCACAACTCTATGTTTAGTCTGCTTTCTAGAAATAACAAGGAGAAAAGTTACTAGTGAAAAGATACAACTGGAACTACTCTGGAAACTGTTAGGGTACACTCATAAAGTGACTTTTTTCTGTTTATTTAAAACTCCCTTCCCACAAAACCATAAGAAATAAGGCTGAGTCTAGTTACACTAACAGTTTAATGCAGCGTGAAAGAACTGCTATTGAAAGCAGTACGAGTTCTTTGACAGCATGGAGTTACAGAATAAACAAAACAGGAATGCTTCAGGGGTTATACAGAGTGAGTCATCCTTAAGAAGGGGATATTATAATAGTTTTTTTATTTAAGCTTTCATTATTTATTTATACAAAGTCAACATATGAAATTGATTATTCCCATATCTTGAATTTCAAAACCTGTAAGGGCAAGGGAACTACAGTTGTGCTCTGGAAAATGAATAGGAATCAAGGTAGAAGAATGCTTTTAAGCTTTTTAAATGTTTTAAGAACGTTTTAAATTTTTTTAAGCTAATACTGAAATTAAAACATTTTTTTATTTCTTGATAGTATTTAGAATTTTAGGATGAATACAGATTTTAAGATGAATGATATTTAAATGAGAACAATATTCAGCAAGGAGCATGGTGGCAAAACTGGTGGTGAAAACCACAAAAAAAACTAATGTAATTGTTTCTAATCATACTGTGTAAGTACTGTATGGTATTTAAGTGTTTCCAGTGTTCCAATGTTAGCTTAAGGAGATGTAATTGTGCTTTGTAATACAGCCAAAGGAAGAAAAAAATACAGTAATTGTTGTAAAAGTTGACAAGCACAAGTTTAAAAAATTCAAGAGGGGGAATTCAAGAACATAATTGTAGTTTTAAATTTATTCTCCTATTTAAAACATTCATCAAGGTGAAAGAAGGTACTGCATACAACATCACCCCCTTCATTTTGAACTGATGTTCCACTTAAACGAAGTAGACATACAAATGCTGTATATACAGAACAAACTCGCTTGTTGCAAGTTATCAGTTAAAAAGGGATTATTTACAATTGCCTGTATTTTCCTTCAATTGTAATATTTTCTTTATTAATTCTCCTGTTTTAAAACATGGCAAATACAGTACTAACTCAATGATAAAAAACAAACTTAAATCACATACATTTTAACAATCTAAAAAATAGTATTTTAAAAGTTGATGTAGACAATGATACTGCTGATGAGGATTATTCTTCAGCAGATGAAATGACCAAGAAATTACATAGCAAGAGATGGCAAGAATAAATTGTTTACTTGAATAAATCTGATGAGGAATTTGGTGCTTATATAACTATTAAAAATTACTTGTGTGTATCACAGTTATTCATAAAATAGTCACTTAATTAAAATGGTGCTAGAAACATTTAATCAATATCTAAAATATCTTCTAAAATAATACATGCTGTGACATCTCAGCTTTGGATTTGTCATAAAAGGATTTTTAAGAATAAAAAAAGCACAGCCAGTGCTCTTTATTCACACTGCAGGAAATAGAAAAAAACACAAACCAAAACCAAAGGTCTCAGCTCCTTTTTGAGGTGCTAACTAGAATTCTGGTCCCTCTTTATTAATACTGCCAGACAGCTAAGCTGTTTACGGCTACTGAAACAACTCTCAAACATGCAAATTACTCTCTGAGACTATCTTCAAGAGTATTCTAGAGTTACTAAGACTTCCAATTAGTTAGTCTGTCACTTTGCACTCTGGTGATTTCACACACAGTGGATCTGTTTTCTGTCCTCCAGTCAGCAGATTGAAAATCAACTCAGCTAGCCTCTTATTCCTGGTTTTTAAACACCTGACCAATCGTTTTCTCACAACTGGTCAAGTGATTGAGGGCAGCAGATTATTCCCTAAGGCTAGAGAATGTGGCTCAAACAAGAATCTCCATTTTGCCTGAAACTACTGCCTTCACACAATGCACAAGTATACTGATTTTCTTTTGATGCTCTGTGTATATTCAATATAGACATTGAACAAAAATACAGAAAACATCAATAAAATTAAAGGTAAAAGAATTATGATAAGATTCCAGTATTAAATGTAAGACAATGTCAAAATTAAAACAAAGATGACTAATTAAGATTAGTGTTAGGTATTACTTCCTTGGGCATTAACAGATTCCTGACAGCAATGATGTGTAGACCTGATCAGCCCCTAAATAGACTGCTGTGGGATGTTCTGGCACTCTCTTTGTGTAGCTGCAGTCTAAGATTTGCTGGATGCAGTTGTTTCCAATTGACGGTATGTTCATGTTGTTCCCACAAATGTTTTGTTAGAGTCAGATAAGGAGAAAAGACACAATTTTGCCTTCTTTATGTTTAATTTGTTTATTGGTTAACTTGAAGTCATTCTGTTGTAATTTTATCACTGTGAGCTTTACATTGTCCTGCTGGAAACACTTCAGGATTGGCTTGCAGAAGTAGAATTACTATTGGATACTACTGGATCTCTGAGCTGCTAAT